ATTTATTTTATAAATCTTCCCTACAACTTGTTAAGTGGAGTGGGCACCTTTTGACACTGTTACTTGAGCTTTGTTAAACTAATATAATGTGACCAGATCAGTAGGACATGTTAACTTTATAGTATCAATTTTGCATAACTTTTCTAAAGCATTGGCTATTAATGGGTGGCATAAAGCACACTCTACCAAGCCAACGATATGATAAGCTCGACCATAATATCTTTTTCCCAACAAAAAGGGCCTTCCTAGTTTGGCCCAAATTTTTCACTACATTGATCTATGTATAAACAGTGCCAGCCCTCCTTGGGCAAATCGTATGTTACAAGATTTATTCATTGTTGCTTGATAGCATTCTAAAATTTGTTATGCCATAAATCACACTTTATCTTAAGCATTTAAGCAGATCAAGTCATATAAGGCCGTTCGGCCTTATGAGACCATATTATATGACATGGTAGAGTAAGAGTGGCAATATACCTTTAAAGGGATGCGTCTTGAACCAGAGCATACAAAGATTCTAATCACAGTATGTTGCATTAAACATCTGCCAAAAATCTATAAGTTTGTGTCATTCTCCTTTATTTTTAGAGTCATTTTATGCAAAATGATATGAGTATCATCATTTGATGTATCATAGTGAACTCATAGAAAAAACACCTTTAAAGACGACATTGTCATCTTATATGATTGAAAGTAACATTTCAAATCCATTGACACTATCGTATAAAAGCACATCCACAATTTTGGCTTCGTGGAACGAAACTTTAAATCACTTTGAGAAATAATTGATACCCTCTAAAATGAATGGATGTCCCACAGAAGAGGGTCGTCAATTGGTTCAATAATATTAATACCTGAGCTCTCAAATGGATATGACACCATCATAAAGTTTAGGCTGAACATAAGATCCTCGATGGAACCAACTTGTAAGCCTAAAGTCATGATGCAAGCTAGTCTCCATCTCTGACAAGGCCTACGGTATAACAGGATGAGGTCTCTGACTGCACCAACCCTACAGGTATCAATATGCAGTGATCTTTATCCCAATATATCATATATCGAAGATATGGTGCAGCTCGAGTTATGTAATGGCACTATGAGGAGGGAAAAGGTCTTAAATGGAGGAAGATTCCTAAATTAGCTTTCAAATTGTCTAATCCCTTATCCGTCATCAAGAAGGGGGAAGGGGAAGAGGGCCTCATCTATAGTTGGGTAAACTTTGTTCTGCTTAGCGTTCTGGAAAGCAACCAAGTGGTTTACTTATGAACACCTATTGTCCAAATATCTATGTTGATTACAGGCAGACAAATCAAGAAAGCAATGCTCATGCTAACCTGCTAAGCTTCAAATAGTCACGCAAACCAATTAGGGGAAATATGGGCATATTGATAGAATTCAATTGGGTCTGTTAAGTGTCTTTTTCCAACCAATAGATCTATTTTAGATTAAATGAACAAATACAATTAAATTGGTGGACATTTGTACAAAGCAACCTTAACAAGCTGAACCTCTCTAATGAAGGCTACATGCTTTAGCATATGTAAACTAAAAGATGAGCATACCTTTTATTCCGCGGGCACCAAACTCGTACAACTTCCCAAATACAATTTCGTGAGGTAATCTTCTTTTTAAATGGAAAAATACTATGTGAATTTCCTGCAATACCAGAAGTGGTTCACCTTAGCATTATTGATAAACAGAAAATTATAAATCTCACAAGCTTCTCAACCTCAGTAAGTAGGCTTAAACAACAAATCACGCCCTTCAATAATGGATTTCAGTGGTGGTAACTTAATTTATCTTTTTAAGAATGTATGTAAAAGACATAGATTTGGTGAGGATTTACTAACCTATGCTGGACTTTCCATTCGTGTAATCCTGCAAACAACAACGCCACTTTATTCTTACACAAACTCCAGAGGGATCTCAAATTTGAAAAAATCGAGGAGAAAAGACAAAACGTAAACAGTAAACGGTCTTAACAACTGTAGAACTGAATTTGAACCAACTCGATCAAATTATAATACAACAGTATGCTGATTGAACGCTTCCTGTATTTTGATACGTTGGAAAGCTATACAAACTTGTGAATCAAGTGGATTGATATTTCAGCATCCAAACATAAGCTCAGGTAGTTTATTCCTTCTCAATGCAAACTAATGACAAAAAGTTTATGTACTTCCATACAAACTGGTGAAGCATATACAAACTGGTGAAGCATATAAATACAAAAATATATATTTTAGCACATTCAAATGACAAAAAGTTTATGTACTTCCATACAAACTAATGTAGGATGTGATCCGACACATGTACACCAAGAAAGCATAAACCTTTATTACTATGGATAATTTTAGCATCCTGTTGAGTTTGAGTCACCTTTTTTTATCTAAGCCAAGTCTCTTAGTTTTAAATACACACGCACAAATATCTATACTAATGTTTTTTTAAAAAATGTTATATGTAACGTAAACACATGAATGCCTAAAATATGAATATATTTATAAACTATAGTACTAAGGTATGTGTGTGTGTCTATATATATGTGTGTGTGTGCGCGCACGTGCATATGCACTTATATGAGTGAAAATGCACAGATATAAGTGTATTTTTAAATGAATTGAGTTGATTGAACTAATTCCTTTCGAGCAATCCTTGAGGAGGAAAACGATTTTAATTGAGTTGATTAACATTCATATTATCATTGCGAGAGTTTGGAGTTTCAAACAAAGTTAACCCACAACATGCAATAATTGAGTTAAGATTTTCTACCCCACTAAACGCAGAAAAAGATGATCCCTTTCTTATGCAAAAGGTAGCCATAAGAATAATATAGAAAACAAAGTTGAATGTAATCAAGGTCGGTTATAGCATAACAAATTTCTGGGTTTTCCAATTAGTTTGGTTCACTAGCTCATAGCCTTATTTCTTTCTTCATGAAAATCAGCCACCGTCAAGCTTTCCGCAAGTAAACTCTTTAAACATAATGCTTTCCAGAATCAGTGCGCCTAAATAACAGCAAGAGAACTAAATATAAAAAATATAAGTGACCGTCCCTTTTTGAAGTATGGCGTAAGCTTCAGCCCAAAGAGCATGTGTTGCCATTTCAGAATGAGAGAATTTTGTATTTTTTACAGCTAAAACCAATGTATGATTGGAACTAACTAACCTGTAAGTCAATCACGTGCAGATGCTGTGTAAGAAACATGACATAGATAACACTTCCAGCAAAGAAGTTTTTCTAAAAAAATTAAAAAAGGGATACAACAGGCTAATAATTAGAGGAAAATTATTGTATATTAGACTTACCTAAAGATTCATAGGCTTGCTTAGTACCAAAGTGCGGAGATTAAAGACTTCCATAGAAAAGGGTTAAAGTTCCATGGAAAAGGGTGGGTTAAAAGTGCTGAAAATGCCGAGTCTGAATGAAAAAAGACATCTCAGCGGGACACTGTTTGGAACTAGGATTGACAGATTTGATTGTAGGAGGAAAAATAAGGATAACATATCCGTAGATATTCATCATAAATAAGCCAACAACCATTTATGAATTAACTAAAAGACTTATTTAGAATTTAGTTTACCAAAACATCTAATGATTAACAAGATTGTTCTAAATATTCCAACCCCACCCATTTTATAAATATATATATATAGATATATATATATATATATATAGATATATATATATATATATAGATATATATATATAGACACACACACATATATATATACAATTTTGCAAATGCTATAGTTTGGAACAATAGTTCTATGTTCATTCATGACTAGAATGCCAAATAACAGCTGAGAGAGATCACAAACCTGACGCACAGATTACATTAAGTGACAATGATTTAAGGTAAAAATAAAATTAACTTTGATTTAGAACAAATTAATTTTCAGCCACACATAGAATCATTCATCAAATTTAATTTTAAGAGCAAATATAGATAAACATTAACACAGTAATTTTACAAAAACAAATAGAAACATTAAATCAGTATCTTCGATAATCAATCAATGTATTTTGCCCATCAATCATAATCATTTTCTTTACAAACTTTCTTAACGTCATAAATATTTTGCCCTCTATTAGTGGCACCCTATTGTTACAACATTTTCAATATATATCACTTGATTTCATTTACCCCCTAAATAATTAGTTGCCCCTGACCATGGCTTCATTTTCATCTTTGTGAGGTCGATCGATTACAACTCTAAATGTTGAAACCACTACAAGAATTTAGTTTATTACCGACTGTAAAATATCATCGGTAATAACAGATAAACCGTAAGTAATATATTTACCGACAGTTTAACAATCGCAAAGTTGACGTAGCAAAAACGTTTGTTGGTAATAAAATTACCGACGGTTTAACAATCACAAAGTCGACGAAACAAAAATGTTTGTTGATAATAAAATTACCGACGGATTTAGCGATGGTTTACATTAACCAATGGGTATCCGACATGCCATAACAGTCACTTTAGATCCAAACACATGTATTTTACCGTAGCTTAACCGGCGGTTATATAAGCGACACGAGTTTCCATAGGTAAAGTGTTACACTGTCGTCGGAAAAGTATCATGATTTCGTAGGTAAAATGTCGCTCAACCGTCAATTACACTGTCGTCGGAAAAGTATTATGATTTCGTAGGTAAAATGTCGCTCAACCGTCAATTAATTGTGGGAATTTACCGACGGTTTTGTCCGTGGCAAAAGTGCAGCATTTTGTCCAGACGTTTGTTCGATAGACCGTCAAAAAGTCGTCTAAATGTCGTCGAAATGCCGTCGAAAACCTGTACCATCAGAAAAAAAAATTTAAAGCCCTCTTTCAACACTGCAATCTATACATATGCAATTGTAACAGTGCAATCAAAACACAGTACAACACAACAACAAAACTAATTAACAAGTAAATCATATACAAAAATAAGAGAAAAATATTTGAATTAAATCAAATGAAATATACAACTACACAATAAAAACAATGCTCATTAATAATAAATTGTTTATTACGCAAACAAACAAAAAAATAATCCTCTACTCATCCTCCTCATTCTGTTGTGTCATCTCCTCATCATCCCCACCCTCAGCCCTCATCTCCAATTTTAGAGCGGGTAACTGGGCAGCAACATGGTGATGCAGCTCCTCCTCCTGTGAAGTGGAAGTGGATGCACCGGATCTGCTAGAGGTCAGGCAGGTATCATAGGCTGGCACTTGGGACCCCAACCCTTCTTCTTCCCTCCGAAAACCTCTTTCTAAAAGTTGTACTGAGAAGGATCGTGAGATGTGCCCAAACCACAGCCTGACTAGAGAGATCGGCTCTCCTTGAGCCTCTAGAAGGCCTCTAAAAGACATATGATTAATGAAAGTGAGAGACTACATAAATTTTGATAATTATTTGAATTTTATACCCATTAACATTGTGAATTACCTGGGTCACATGCTATTTGTTGTCCACCCAGAATTGATCTGAGTGCCTTCTATGGGCATGCTTGTGTAACTCTGTAGCACTTGGCTCTTGTCCTTTCACCAGTGTCTGTTAGTATAATGAAATAATTAGAATATAGTTAATGTAAAATTAGATTTAATGTCAAAAAAAATAAGTCTTACCAGCCTCCTCTTGTACTCCGTGTGTGGGAGTGATCCAACCTTTGTCCTTGAAATCAGAGCAGTAATTCAACTTTCCATGCTACCTCTTCCTCTGATACTCAGGAGAGTCCCAGGCCCTCAGCATTGTGACAAACACATTCTCGCCCAGCCACAAGGGGCGCTCACGTGTCCGACGTTTAACACCAAACTAGTAGCACAGACGATCACTTACCTTATGCTCGAAGTTCCTGCGAATGTGTGTTTCCTCCTTGAGGGGTCAGGACCATTGCTTCTATAAATTAAATTAGAAATTGTTAGATTCATAAAAATAAATACATAATTGTAATTATTGTGTACAGAGTTTACCTTCAAATCCCCAAATCACATATCCCGAGCTATCATCGGGATCTCCCTCTAGGATAAGTATAGATGGTCATACTTGCTTCGAATTATATCTCTGATGAAATGGATGGCTTATGTGTAGGGACTAAATCTAAAAATAACATATGATTGGTTCTCTATTAAATTAAAAAAATTTAAGGCAGTAATGTCAGTATTAAATTAAACTTACATGTTCCCTACTAATCGAAGTTGATGGTGGTTGCTCGTGCTACTTGAACTGTACGGTGCATCAATAGCAGCTGATGGTGACTGTGCTGGTGGTATCTTGGTTATGGTTGATGGCTGTGATGGTATCATGGCCGCGACTTGTGGTGATGGTAGTGTCATGAGAGGTGATTGTAAGGTTTTGCCACCACTAGAGCTAGTAGGTGAGAAATGACTACTTCGATAATGATGTGAGAAGGAATAACCACAACCACAACCACAACTAATAGAGAAAATTGTGGTCGGATTAATGGATTGAATAACTTGTAATTCTCGAGCAACTTCATTTTCAACATTGATTCCTTCATTACCTAATAAAATGTAAAAGTCGTCAAAACTGATGGTCTAAACAGTAGTTTGAATAGCTATTTTCAAAAGCTTGATAGACGAAGGGTAACAAATTCAAAGTGTATAATAGAACATCTTTAAGATCAAGAGGTGATCCAGCGATAGTAATAGATCAACCATGTCCTAGACATTAGATAAATATTGAGCCACATTTCTTCTTTTACACTTATGTGGATACCATTCTTGAGATAAATAATGAGTTCAATTTGTGGATTTGACATGATGCTTCGCTATTCTCTAGATTTTAAAACAATAGTTAGATAAAGAACATAACGTAGAAGTTGAGGCATAATGATCGAATAAAGGGCAACTATCAACCTCTGATGAATCAACATCTAGCGGGCACACAAAGGATTAAGACTTATCAAACCATCGTCAAGAACTAAAAACTTTGGAGGACACAACACAGATCAATCCAAAAAAAAAACCCTCAAATCCATTTGCACAAAAATTTTAAGAACATGAGATTTCCAATTTGGATGATTTTCTAAGAATGCGAACAATAGTTTTTATGTTGGAGATAAGAAACTTAAGTTGTGCAAAGAGGGGGTTATCTTTAAGAGAAAGGAAATTGTGTTTCAATGTCCATAATAAAAATATTAGATGCACCTATTAGGATTAAGGAGAAAAAAAAACTAGACCAATGATGCCAATAAGCATAATTTGGATACCGTGATAGGCTAAAAAATATTACTTGCAGATGATCTAAGTGTGGATTGGTGCTATTGGGATGGTATTCAAGTGAATATCACCTCAATACCACCAATCCGCACATACGATTGCCGCACATAATACTTGCTCATGATAAGCAACAAGAAGAAAAAGAGTATAAAGAAAATAAAAGGGTTGAGAAGAACACTATAGAAAAAACAAAGAATATATATATATATATCTGTGGGTGTGTGTAGCATCCTCTCTATAAAACTCCTCGGGTCAGGTGTTCAAATCCCTCCTAGCACAGTTGGTCTTAAAGAGATGGTACTCAAATTGTTAGGCACATTAAGAGTGCCTGGAGGCTTGTATAATAGCCTCTGGTCATCTCTCATGCGCCTAAGAATTCAAGTACCACACCCTACACTCGGGAGAAATCGATGCCCGACCAGCGCATCTGTGTTGCTAGAGTCAAGAGCTATATTAATAACAACACGTTGATACCACATAAATTTTTTATATCACAACAACAAAAATTATTATTTAACTTCAATAAAAAATAATATATAATTTTACATGTGATATAGATGTAAAGATTGAAACATAGATGTTCCATCTGTAAATACATAGGATTTGAGTTGTATGTATATAAATCTTCCAAAGATAAATTACTATAATGAAAAATAATATATCAAAAAATTTTAGTGCCTTCCTAAAATAGCATGAATGAATATTAAATAATAAAATATAGAATATAAGTGAAGGAGAAATCATCAAATATATTTAGTTTATTTTCCATCAAGCAAATAAAATATTTTCTTGCACCATTAAATTTTTTCTGACGCTAGCATGCTTACCTGCACCATTCTTAGAAAATACAAATAAATAATAAAAATCCCTCACTTCCTCCCCGGCCTTGGCTCTCCTCATTCTTAGGAAAATTTACACTCAGACCACTCAATTCCTATGCATTTACACATCTAAAACCTAAAGTTTATTATTTTCACATACACTACATTACAAAAAAATGCATCATTTTTTAATAGTTAAAATAGTGACATTTTTTATGTGAATACTATTGATGGAAAAAGGGAAGTTCAACTGTTAGAAATGTAAATACATAAGAATTGGATGGTATGTATGTAAAGCTCATAATTTGTAATGCATTGACTTGTATAGACTAACCATATGCGGCACCTTCACTTAAAACAAGTGCAAACTAACATAAAAATCATATACTAGAAATAGCTTAACATAAACTAGCTAGAATATATAAACCTAAGCTAATCTAATAATCATAAATATAAGGGGTTAAAATGCAACCAATACTTTGAATTACACCAAACCTTCCATACCAAAAGAATTTAGACATACACTATGAGATATTTTCAATCATAAAGTATATTAGTCGCTACACCCATTAAGTCATGACTATATCATAGATTAAGATACCAACATTTGTGCCCACAAATGTTTGTAAAATGTGCATTTGAAATAAGTGTAGATCATGATGAACTAAGTCTTATGCCTTCCGGAATCCAAATAAGTGATGATAACTTAATGTGAACCATACATTTCTTAAATGCACAAAAACAAAGAGACATTTCCAAATCGGTCACAAAAGTTGCATTACATACAAACCAAAATTTGGATACAAGATGTAATTTTTTGTATTATATTCAATTCAAATATTAAAGCTTGCATGATCTAATAAGGTGGGAAATTAATAGTTTGTCTAGAGGGAGTTTACAAATCTAAAATGAAGTATGCCATTAGAATATAAACTCTAGTTATCAAACTAAAAGTAGATTCGGAGCTCGAAATTCGGCTTTTATACAAACTATTGGTTCATACTTAAATTTTCTTTCAACGTTCAACCAATCAAATCTCACATAATGAACACGAGAGATTCAACACAAAGCGAATGAAAATAAATTACTACATATTATGTATACTGAAAAAACAACAAATCATCATACTAATTACAAGTGTTTTACAATAAACTATGGTAAAATAACTCAGATATGTCCAAAAATATACAATGATGATGAACTGATCAACAATGTTATGCTGCGAGCAATGGATAAATTCAAAAAACAAGTATGAACATTACGTTCAATACTTGAATCGCCATAATAACATCTACAAATCAATAAGATCTAGCTGATTACATGAAAAGTATGATATTAATGATTATAGCACAATAAGAGAGTGAATTGTAATATCTAAGATTTAATATTAAAATACTCCTCATCATTAACATTGGATCACATCAATATCCAAAAATTAAAAGTTTATGCAAGCATTTAACATTAGAAAAGTGCAATGCAGAAAAAAATTAAGAAAATTAAAGAGGGCAAAATAAATTTTGCATGATTCAGACTAACTTGCCCTATACATCCAAGCCTGTGAAAATTCTCATTTGAGATTCCGCTACAAATCACCCCTTGACCAAATGTTGTTGGAGAAACTATCCCTCTTGACAAAAAATATAGGTGGGGAAATAGATGAATCTTCACCACTGAGAACAAGAACATGCTCACCTTGAACATAAGCAAATGCACCTCTCTAAGATAGCACTTAGGACACAAGAAAACTTTTCGAAGCCTTCCATGACATGACTGATGAATGAGGCTATGACCGATAGTTAGGAGGCCCTTTGTAATCATTTTTGTTTTTTTTTTTTTTTGTTATTGCGTTTTGATTTGAAATAAAACATATTTGGTTTAACTAGTTGGTTTTAAAAAAACATTGAAAATATCATTCAGGTGTTTTGAGTATTTTTAAAAACAAGTTAATTATTTTTTAAAACAAAAGAATAAAAATATATAAAACTCATACCAACCATACATATTTTCAAAAATAAAAGAAAAAAATAAATAAATAAGAAATAAAAGTGATGCCAATCGGCCATAAGTAAAAACACTCATTATAAGTGATTGCAAATAAAAAAAACAAAATAAACTACCAAAAAATGAGCAAGAAAAGTGTTACACCAATTATACTTTAGGAAAGCAGAAGAGGATGACCACTTATCCTTCTTAAAATGACAAATTTTGTAAGCACTCGTACTAGTGCTATCCACATTATATAACAGTTTAGTTTTTATGTTTTAGTTATGTTTTTATGTGTTTTTCTATTTGGATGGTTGTTTTGTGTATTGGGGTATATTTTGGGTTTTAGAATTGTCAGTTTCTTTCTTTTTGTGAAGGTTGGGCTACCTGTTCATCTTCCTTGTAGCCGTATCTTGGAGTTGACAACTCATGTTGTGTCTTTTCATGTGTACTATTGTGCTTTCTTTAGATCAATAATATTCCTTTTGTTGTTCTTTTACCTCCAAAATTCATCTCAGCAATTCATGATTGCTGTTTTGCAAAAATTCTGCTCTCATTTCCCTACTCGGTATAACTATTCCGTTTAGTTTTCTTTCCTGTTGCGGTTCTAGAATACCTCCTTTCTGCTGCATTTCGATTGCAAGGAAAGTTTTGAATTTTCAGTTCAAGAATTGTCTTTCTACGAATTGTTTTCTTTTGCTTTGCTTCATGTTGAGCTTCCGGTCAAGGGTACATTTTTTTTAACCAGAGCAGAGGCAGCCACAACAGCAGATTCCTCCATCCTTTAATCTATGCACCAAGAAGAACAAGCAAGCTCTTGAAACTCAGGTTGTGATAAATTATTGTGCCTCTAATCTTCTCGGTGGGCTGCTCAACCTCGGTCCAAGAAACTTCTAGCAAATTCCAGCAAGGAAAGGGGCAATTTTCTATCTTCTTATTCTTAATGGCTGGGTTTTCTACAATTCTTTTGGCAGCTCCTTCAACCTCTCGCTTTCCGCTACAACTTCCCAATGAAACAGCAACTGCCACGAAGAAATGTTGCAAGAAACAACCGAGAAATAGTTGTCATAGACTTACAACAAGAAATCAGGGGATTACAGAAGCGGCTTGTTGTCTTGAAGAAAAAATTTATGAGGACCAGACCGTAGAACCTGGTGTGGATACGGAGTAGGAAAAAGGTGAAAACCCTTTTCACCAAGAATCTTCCAGCGATAAGACCCAGTCCCCTACAAGCATGGAGGAGAGATAGACATCACAAGGTTGTTGATTTTGGTATCAAGATCGACCTTCCGGATTCTGAAGGCAGACTAGACCTGGATGAATTGATGAGTTGGCTACATGCGAGAAAGTGATTTCTTTAGTTTAAAGAAATTCCCCAAAAATAAATTGCTAAACTTGTAGCAATTAAATTGAGGAAGAATGCCTCTCCTCGGTGAAAAAATGTGAAGAGAATGTTGTGTGGAGCCTAATTGGCGAGG